GTCACCTATACGACACAATTCAATATGAAACAATAATACTTCATTGTCAGAGAAAGGCGGACAATTTTCTTGAATCCCTGCAGCTCCATTTGCAGCATCAACAAGGACACATACTTAAGACAAGAAATACAGAAACAGATATTTAACACAACATTTCAATCACTGAAGACAACGTGTTCAAGACTCTTTAGAGTATATTTGACCTGGGATTGACTCGGGCACAAAATAGTTTATTAGTCTTGACGTAATAAACCGTGGGACGCTGTATCTCCGTTTTGATGGCAACCATTCATATGTTACTAGAACTCTTTAGGTAATACACATTAAGGATTTACACATGCCACATAGCCTCAGTTAACATCTACATATAAACCGACTCTCAGTGATTGACACCTGAAGCTTTAATATATCCAACCGAGTCTTCTCCTCTCATCGCTTCTTGGTCTTCATCCCGAGTCTTGAGAAAGAGAGCGTGAATGTCTTCAGAGATCGATATGTGCCTCTAACTGCAGGGCCCCATCAGCCCACTTTCTCCACTGATTCCAGCTATTTAAGAATGTCTTTCTGGGGATCTGGCCCATTTCTTTCAATTAATGCTCCTTTCAGCCAGCCAACCATTAGAAGTCCATTATAGCCCGCTCCTCCCAGGGAGAGTCATTCAGCCGCGCTCCATCTTCTGATAACAGGAGCGTCTGGACTGCCATGGAGAAATAATTAACCTTTTAAATTGTTTCTTCGGAGGTTGCTGTTAGATGCAAGGCTTTTGTATTTAGTTTCTTTTTATTTCTTTAATTATTTTGTTTACTGTTTCTTTGGAAATTAAGTTGATACTCTTTCAATCAGGAGAGACTGTTTTGTGATGTAACGATATATATGTATTGCCGGGAATACACAGATGCATGTAATGGTATTTGGTGATTAGACCCCGTTGTGCTGCGTTGAGTCACCTGAAATGACAACTGTGAGGAAGGGGAGAGAGCAGATTTAAAGGTTTAGCAATGCACTATGATAGGCTTGTGGGAATAGAGGTGAAGTGATTTAGCTGGGGAGTGACGCCCCGATTGCTGATTGAGAGGAGAGAGTAGTAAGCTGGGTGTAGCTCTCTTCACGACACAGAGTAGACACAGATCGGTTCTTTAAAACTGGCGTTTATTTATTGGAGTTTTCATCCTGTAGCCTCCCCTCTTCCGTTACGCCGTGAGAACTACAACACCAAATGACACGTATACATAGCCAAACATAGCATATTGTGCTATACGTATGAATGAAAATAAGAAAATTAAAACATAAAACAAATACCTCGTTGGCCGCTTGTCGTGAAAGGAGATTCATCTTACAGTTCCTTTTCTGTATAACTTTGTCACATTAAACTTTGTCACAGACTTCAGCAGAGCTTCAAACAAAGGGTCCTTCTTAGGTCGATTATTTTCATTTCCTCGCTCCTCGGTCCTCGGTATCACCGGAAGTTGATTTGTCTGCGCCATCTTGAGTAGCGTCCCATGGCGCTTATTTCTGCCGGAGGACCGAGGAGCGAGGAGCGATCATGGAGGAGCGATAACATAATTAACATGTTATCATGCCATATTTAACGATTATAAAATAACATGAAATAAAGTATTTATTTATCTAATTGAACTATGACGTTAAATTGGGTTATTCCTTTTTAATTAAGGCAACTTTGTTACATCATTTACACTGGGAATATGTGAATGAGGCCCAATCCCAAACCGCCCCCTACACCCTACCCCTCCGTTTGCTCGTTCACGCGGAGGGTCCGCCATATTAAGTGCTGTTCCAAACCAACGAGTGTGGAGGGGAGTGGGCTATCAAGCCCTCAAACAGCGAGTCTGCAGCGGTGCTGACTTGAGACCGGTCTCGACCTGACCGGAGTCAACGCTGTGTGTGTCCGTCAGGAAACACGCTGTTAACAAGTAGTTCCAGCAAACATCCACTGATAAACTGCGATGTTAACAACCTCATGATAGCCTCATATGTTTTAACTTAGGATCATACCTGTGTTTAGTCTAGAAAAAGGTAAATGTGTGCATTTTATTATAAAGTTGTGTATATTTACAGACTGTTGCAAAAACTAAGAAGCTTATAAACATCAGGTTTAAAACTAAAAGAGTTTTACAAAAAAGTAACACAATGAAAGATGTTTGGAGTTTTATTTGAGTTATTAATTTACATTGTTTGTCTAAGAAATGCTGATTTGAAACCGTTGTTACATACAGTTACGGCATTTCCTGTTTCTGCCGGAGAGAGGGGAGTTTGTCCCAAAGCTTGCTGCTGTATTTATACCCTTAACCCTTAATGGAGGGAACTTCATTCAGCTGCGAGTGTGGCTACAGACGGAGTTCACTCCGTCACGGAGGGGTAGGCAGCAGTAGCGTGGCGTGGGGAAAAATGTAGGGGAAGCCCATTTTTTGGGTCGGGGGGTGGTCAATAACGTAACCAGATGAGTGATTACAGCGCCCGGTATCATTTTACACACATTGGTATCACACAGATGCAGGACTTGCACACGCCTGTTATCTAACCGACAGGTCCGCACGCACTCTCCAGCTGAAACTCTCTCCTTATTAATTTAAGCATTTTACTTATTAATGTATGCAGACAATCACACAATCTATGTGATTTTTGGATTTACCGTGCCTCTCAATTGCCCGTGACAGGTTGGCAAGGTCGATGAATCCTGAAGTTGCCCAAGGATTGTTCAGGGAGCACGAATCCTTGTCAAAAAGAAGACATGGCCAGCAAATTAGACGCTGAAGTTTAGCGCTTCCAGTTAGCCACTCCGTGCGGACATAATTGTCCTCATTGAACGTCCGATTCTCTCCCTTTTTCCTCTGCGTACACACAGCTCGAGTGCGGGCATTGGCCTGTCATCTGATTTAATTTGTAGTTGCTGCTGTAGCGGAAGTTTAGTAAAGTTATGTTTGATTAAGTACGCCAAATCTCCACCCTCCATAATACTTCATTTGCTTGAAAATTTCTAACGGCGGTGATGACAGTTACAGTATTAAAACTGATGTTGATGTGATTTGATTGGATGGCAGTGTCCAATCAAATCGCCAGCCGCCAGCCGCCTCTGAAGGGAAGCAAGAGGCGGCTAGCTTCCCTTGGCATGGCCCTGACCAATCACAGGTTGGCAGGGGCATCACGTGGGCCTCATCTGATTGGTCAATCCCTCCATTTTTTTTCACCAAGGGAAGCTAGATTCGGCTGGCCTCCTCTCGCAACAGTGAGTGCAATCTACTGTTTCACCATAACATCTAGAGGGGCGCTGTTTGTTTCACTCTTTGTAAAATACTCAATGAGAATGGGGGAGAGACGGGCCGGCAGCAACACACAGCAAAGGAGAATTATCGAAACAAAACAAAGTGTTTGTATTTATTTATTTAAATTATAACTACAATCCGAAAAAACAGGGGAAGCCTGGCTTCCCTTGGCCTCCGGGAGAAAACGCCACTGGTAGGCAGGGCCGGTCCTTGGCATAGGCAGTATAGGCGAATGCTAAGGGCGCATCAATGGGGGGCGCCGAAAAAAAAAAAAATGTAATTTCATAACAACACAATTTCCCGATTTTGGATCAACAAAGTACATCTTATTATCTTATACTAACAGAACTACGCTTGCGTACAGCGCCCATAAACTATGGCGCACCCCCCCCCCCCCCCCACAAATCAAGATGAACTGCCCCAGCCCCAGTAAAAAGGTTTATGTGAAATAGTTGTTTTTTTTTAAATAATGGTTTTAGTGTGCAATTATAGGTTTGAATTTTGTATTTGTGTTCATTTAAAATAAATCAAACTCCCAAAAAACGTATACAGCTTTTATCAACATTGGAATTTACTGTGTAAGCGGCCGCGGGGGGGGGAGAGCTTTAGAGAGCTCTCCTGAAATACTGAGAGGCTCTGATAACCTCAGCTCAGTGAGGTAAAGGCACGCCTTTATATGATCATTATAGTTATAAAAAAATAAGAGAATAGATTTTCATCTATTCTCTTATAGTATAAAATACTATATAACAGTAAAAAAAAGTTGTTATTAAAAAGAATACAGTTTAAAAGGGGAGTGATTTGTAAAATATCCATAAATAAAAAGAAAATCTGTTTACAGTTCTGTTTCATATGGGTGTTGAGAGATGTATCCATAGATCTCTTAATTTTGCTCTCAAAGTGCACCAGATTGATGCTTTTAACTTCAATATAAAAAATAAAAAATCTTCCCGGGGGAGCATGCCCCTAGAGGAGGTTAGGTCCACCCCCCACTTAAATCATGTTCAAATGGATAGGATACTAAATACATTTGCACACATCTTGTGTCCATATCTTTCTGTTTTGGTGGTCATGCCACAACCGTGCATGCATGCGCCAGTCATAGTGAGTGTCTGCATTTTGGGGGGGGGCACCAGCTAAAATCTTGCCTAGGGCAGCAAATTGGTCAGGGCCGGCCCTGGGGGTAGGGTCGAGCGGGTGATTTGGGATTGGGCCAGAATGACTAAAGACGGTCTTCCTGGTTGAACTTGCGCTAAGCTCCATTTAGACTTACTACTATGTACATGAGTGGCTGTGGCTCAAGGGGCCCTGCATTCAACATGTTGATTTGTCCTTTGGCAAGATACTTAACCCCAGCAGTAGATTACCTCAGCAGGTGTCACATTGTATTGCAGCATCTATCTCTGTAGGAATGTGTGTTAATGTGTGAATGCAGATGTTCCTTTTTTTTTAGGTAAAAGCACTTTAAAGGGTCGCCTAGACTAGAAAAGCGCTATTTAATTGCAGTCCATTTTCCATTTGTCTTGCATACACTAAGCAATCTCTTATCTAACTAAGATTTGCATTGTCATATCTACACTGTAGCTATGCACAAATGACAATAAAAGCCTTGAATCTTGAATCTTGACCCTTGAATCACCTTCTTCCAAACATAACTCAGACTGGGTAATCTGTGGTGTCTTTTCATCTGTGTTTCTCTTTCTCTCTGATATCTCACAGGTTCTTGCTGGAGAGGAGGCTGATATCACCTCCAGCATGCTGAACACCGAGGACGCAGACACCGCCGCAGAGAAACTGGTGTACAACGTCGAGTTGCCGACCAATGGGATGGTGGCGTTGAAAGAGGCGCCCGAGGAGGAGCTCCTGAATTTCACACAGTCTCACATAAACAAAGGGGAGGTCATCTTCATTCATGAGGGTGAGGACACTGCGATGTATAATAATATTAGACCACTGTCAGTCTCTATCTCAGAGAGCTTGTATTACAGCAGCATTGTATAATGTGTCATCTTCTTAGAAAGCGTCTAATAAGAAATCTGAATTCCTCCAAAAGTTAACAGTAATAATAATAATAATAATAATAATACATTACATTTATAAAGCACTTTTCCTGGTGCTCAAAGCGCTTACAAGCAAGTAAAACTAAATAACAACAAAAGTAGAAAGTGCTAAGCTAGGAGGAATAAGGGCAAGGGGTTAGTTGATTAGGAGTTGAAGGCAAGAGTGAAAAGGTGAGTTTTGAGGGATTGTTTGAATGATGTGAGAGTGTTGGCGGATCTGACGTGGCTGGGGAGGGAGTTCCAGAGTGTGGGGGAGGCTGCTGCGAAGGCCCTGTCACCCCAGGTCCGGAGCTTTGTCCTGATGGGCTGCAGTAGGTTAGCTTCAGCAGACCTGAGGCGACGGGTGGGGGTGTGTCGTTGGATGAGGTCACAGAGGTAGTGGGGGACAAGGTTGTTGAGGGCTTTGAAAGTGAAAAGTAATATTTTAAAGTCAATGCGGTGTTTGATGGGGAGCCAGTGGAGGTCATGGAGGATAGGGGTGATGTGGTCGGAGCGTCGGGTGGAGGTGAGCAAGCGGGAAGCTGAGTTTTGGACATATTGAAGTTTTTTTAGGTGCAGGTGATCCAAAAAGTGCTGTTGTAATCCAGTCGGGATGTTATAAAGAAATGGATCAGATTTTCAGCAGCGGTCGATGAGAGGGAGGGTCTAATGCGGGCGATGTTCTTTAAATGGAAGAATGCGTTTTTTGTGACCTGGTTGATGTGAGGGAGGAAAGTGAGGGTGGGGTTATGACCCATGACACTTGTAAACCCCTACTATACTGTATATGGTGGTATTTTACTCCAGTAAGAGAACGAATACCCACAGTTAAAATAATTTACTACTTATATAGGTCTGCATTTAAAACGTTACATTAGTAGAAAGGATCTTTGTATAATCAGCTAGGTAAACGTAGTTGAAATATGAAAAGCAAAAGTGTTCATTTCGCAGTAAATCTTTAAATGTGATTGTGACAATCTATTTTCCAGCTGATCCAAGAGGCTTTTCAAATAGTTTCAACTAAGTATGAGGATTTCCTCCTTAATCCTATAGTTTATCGCAAACATTACAATTCAACACATAACTACAACCAAAGCTGTATGACAAAAGCAGTGGAGTAAAGAGTTTAAAATTGCCTCTGAGGTGTAGAAAAGTGGAAGTATAAAAAAGCATAACATAGACAAACTCAAGTGAAGTGCAAGTTCCTCGAATTTCTAAGGAAGTACAGTAATTAAGTTATTGTGCTTAGTTACATTTCAAGCACGGTCAAGATATCACCGTCATTTGTGTCCCTTTGTTGTGCCAAATAAGTGTGATTTTCATTAAGACAATACCCAGTTTTAAAATACCTTCTGCTTGGAAAACAATAAGTGGTATATATATAAATAAGTATAATAATAATATGATATATAAGACCAGTCAGTCACTTCCTCTCCTCCGTCCCTGCAGGTGAGGAGTCTGGAGGCTTCAGTTTCACGGTGACAGACGGAGAACACACGTCTCCTCTCTACCAATTTGTCGTCACAGCCAGACCTCTCACCATCACCATGGTAACGCAGGAGGAGCTCATGGTATTTCCAGGTAAGACGCCAAAATCCTGCAGACTTTAAGTTGTGAAGACGGCAGTGATGATAGGATTACCGCTCCTCGTTCAACCTAGTGTTTGTGGCCACATAATAATAGGTCTTTTTTTAACACTAAGAAAAATATACCATCTTCTTTTCTCACTTCTTCAGTTACATACATGAACAAATGATTCAATTAAACATATTTAGGACATTAAAGACGATCATCAAATCTATGAAACAACACAGAAAATACAACGTTTGTCCAAACATATTGATAAAAGATGACTTTTTGTAGGTTGATTTAGTCTCTCTTTGTCAAGTTGTTTGTATTACTATCTTATGTTACATGTAAATTAAGTTATATAGATCTTTATTTACCACTTGTATCATACAAGTTTTAAGAAAAATGATTGTAAAGAACACTTTTTTATTATTTTCAGTATTTCTATTTTGCAACAATGACCAAGGAAGCTTGTTGCTGAAAAAAACGTTTAAATTATTTAATTCCTTATTTAATTTAATATATATTAAGTGCATGTGCTTCATTTTTTTTGCATAATACGAAAGGAACATACTCTCACTTTAAACGTAATCCTTCTTTTGCAGTTTAAATAGTCCCAGTACACCACAGAGAAGTTATTACGTTTCAAGTGTAAATACTCTGGAAATAAAATGTAAATTGATTTTTGGTTGTCAAAAAACACCACGACTTCTCCGGATGGAACCTTTGAGAAATTACTAGTACAGTGTCATCCTCAGCTCTATTCATAATAAACGTAACTATAATGCATGACATATGAGAGGAGTTGTCACATTTTTGAAAGCTTGGATACATTTGGGTGTAAACTCAAGATCAGGAAACTCTTCTTCACAGTAATGTGCATGAATTAATTCCACAAGCTACACTGCATGAGGCCATTTACCACAACACTTAGTGTGTCTGTGTGTGTGTGTGTGTGTGTGTGTGTGTGTGTGTGTGTGTGTGTGTGTGTGTGTGTGTGTGTGTGTGTGTGTGTGTGTGTGTGTGTGTGTGTGTGTGTGTGTGTGTGTGTGTGTGTGTGTGTGTGTGTGTGTGTGTGTGTGTGTGTGTGTGTGTGTGTGTGTGTGTGTGTGTGTGTGTGTGTGTGTGTGTGTGGTGTGTGTGTGTGTGTGTGTGTGTGTGTGTGTGTGTGTGTGTGTTATTACAGGAACAAGGCAGTCTATCACCAGTGCCAATCTGGGGGCCGTAACCAATGAGGATGGAAATGAGATAAGCTACTCTCTGATCCGCCCCCCTCGTTTGGGAAGACTAATCCTGGCCAACGACAGAAACCAATACGAGGAAATTACCCGCTTCTCACAAACACAGGTACAGTAATTACTGTCAGTGTGTGTGTGTGTGTGTGTGTGTGTGTGTGTGTGTGTGTGTGTGTGTGTGTGTGTGTGTGTGTGTGTGTGTGTGTGTGTGTGTGTGTGTGTGTGTGTGTGTGTGTGTGTGTGTGTGTGTGTGTGTGTGTGTGTGTGTGTGTGTGTGTGTGTGCGTGTGCGTGTGCGTGTGCGTGTGCGTGTGCGTGTGCGTGTGGTATATGTGTGTGTTGCTGGGATGTGTTTCTTTTCGGAGACATTAACTCATTTCCTTTCCTCCCTTGTTAAAATGAATGTTCCACATTAACCTTTGAAGATAATAATACATCATTAGTAGCAGTGAAAAGTAAACATTAAATTAAGGGAATAACAATAATGAAAAAGATGGATTAAATGTTTTACAGGGAAAGCATCTTTTGATGGATTTTTGGTTTAAATTATCCGTTGCATTTAGGGTGCACTGTAAGTTCAACTGTTATTGTTCATTTTCTTCTTTTCAAAAAGCTTTAATCCTCCCCACTTTCAGGTATACATTCCTATTAATAGCAGGTTTGTGTTACTAAGTAGTCATAGCTGTTAAAGGCTCTTGAGTCGTCTGCGTCAGAGAATATCAGACAGACATACAAGAAGACTTAATGCCACTTTAATGCATAAAAACGCAACTAATCCTCCTTTCAACACCGACTGGTGCTGCTGATCTCACCGCTCTCCCAGAGGTGGAAATTAAGTCATTTAAATGCTTGTGGTAGCAGCTCTTGACTTCCCTGCCTGTAAGCATTGACTTGTTTTTATATTGGAAAAGTCAATGCAATAAACTCGATAGCTCACACTATTTAGATTTAAAGAGCCATAACTTTGTGTTTGTTGACAGAACTGTTAATGACTGTAAAGAATGTTTCACCTTTATTAATCTTACTTTAATCACCAAACAAGTAAAGTGTGTTCCTTTCAGAGAAACAAATTAAACCGACCTATTAGCTCATGGAAATGTGACTAAATAGTAAAAGTTGTCCTTTACATAAATTACAGCCGTACCAAACATCAACAGACGATGATATATAATTGCATTCCATTTTGTTCATGTTCCTCTTCTTCACCAGCAGGGGGCCTCATTGAATATGACTTCAAGGTTCAAGGTTCAAGGCTTTCATTGTCATTGTGCATAGTTACAGTGTAGTTATGTCGATGAAAATCTTAGGTCCCAGGCTCCTCCAACAGTGCAACACAATAAACAGATAAAATAGTGCAAGTAAATACAATACAATTGAATAGTAGTGCCATAAGAGTCTATACAAGTGATACATAAGCATGTATATTTATTTATTTATTTATTGATCTATACATTTATTTTTTTAATGTATATATATATTTATATATTTTTTATTTATTTTTTTAATCTGCATTTTTAAGGGAATTAACAGCATTTTCAGTTTTTACTGTACTGTGTTGTAACCTCACAAAGAAGAGAACATTAACACTTATTGGCAGTAAAATAAAAAGCTTTAGGCTTTATTGGCCTACGTGTTTTCTGGGTGTGGTTCCTGATTTCAAAGAGCCCCTTTCTTCATTGAGTGTGATTTATAATACTCAGATTATATAATAAAATCTCAATCTTTTACTGTTTTTACATAACTGTGGGATTTTTTTTGCAATTAATAGATTATTGAGTACATTGAACACTACACTTGCAGTAGGCTCATGGCAGAGTTCGTCTGCGATGTGTGTTCTCACTCTTGTCTCCATCTGATTTCCATCCCGGACATCTTGACCGTGCTTGAATGAGCATGAGAAAGAATTCTTCCCTGCTCTGTTTAGAGAGTGACGGAAAATCTGACACTACGTCGAGTTGAAAACCTGATTTGATGATTGGTGTAATTCAGCAGTGTGTGTTTGTGTGAATGAATGAATACACTCTTCAGCTTGCTTTGTGTCTCTGTGTGTAAGAGGAGAGTTGAGTTCAGGACACAGTGACCTCAGAGAGAAAACACAGGCCGTCACATCCCAGTACAGATGAGCCAAACCATTTGAGCTCCGATTGAACTGGTTCTTACAAACGTGGGAAAACAGCAATAAAATACTTTAGCAAACTAAAATGTCTTTCTCTTCCAAATTACTGAAATAAAACAAAAGTCATTAACAAGTGACTGAAAACCGGAGATCAAAATGCAAATGTTTATTGACAAAATATGGACTTAAAAATGATTTCTTATATAAAATGCTTGACCAAAATAAAGTCCAATTTTCTTTTTTTATTACTGACCCTAAATAGTTATTATATTTCTCCAAAAGACACATGAGCAAGGATATGAAAAAGTGAACTACCTTTCAACTACCTTTGAAAATGTTTCTTTACATGATCATCTTATTCAATAGCGGCCCGTCCTAATGGGCAAAAAATAACATAATGCAATTATCAAAAGTGTTCGACAGCTCTGATTCTGATTCTGATTATCTTCTGATTTTGTGTCCCCTGACACACAGCTGGAGTCAGGCGCGGTGTACTATGAGCACCAGATACCTGAGGATCCTTTTTGGGTTGTGAGGGACTCCATAGAACTGACTCTGTCCTCCCAACCAGCCCCAGACGTCCGTCACATTTTGCCCATCACCATCTCTTACTATGCTGCTCACAGCAACATCTCCTCACAGCTGTGGAGGAACAAAGGTACGATAAAATGTGTAATAACAAAATCTTAACAATCACATATTTGCAGTTGTTCAAGTATTCCCCCAGATATTGAGATGCAGAGAAGATAAGTTAAGCCTGTGAAGCCCCATAATAGGTCTGCACCTAAGATAATAGTTACAATCTGAAGGTTTAGTCTTTAGTCAATTTAATAGATGCATATTCAATAATTCAAACGTTATTCATACAGGGTAGAGCGGCTTAGCGTGCATGATCTATTACAGCAAAAACCTGTTAACAGTCAAAGAAAACAAAGAGTCTTATTAGAACAGAAATCAGACAATATTGTTTTAGCTTGCCATATTCCTGAAACAGAAATAAGACACTAATACTGAATACCGTGAAATACATATATATTTTGAGTAACAGTCCCTCTGCTTATTTCATGTTTTTGTATTATGTAAACAATACAACATAGTTTGGGCAGAGTAACACTTTAGAAACTGAAATGTGTTGTGTTTAAACAGTAAAACCTTTTTCTTTTTCATTTTGGAGAATACCTACATTTGCATAGGATTTAAGTGATACCCTAGTTTAAAGGACCTTAGTTTAAGTGGGAATCACTGAATAGCTCAAGTGTTATCATGTTATCAACTCTATTTACAATGTCACATTTTTGCAAAAATGTCCAAAACAACAAGCCGGTCCCTCCACCTGTCTTTCCTAATGTGCCAACATCCAAAATTAACTGTGCTGCATGGTTTAATATTGTTTTCCCAAACTGCACAACAACATACTTAATTTTAAAATAGTGTATGATAGTAACATTTCTCTTTGTTTTTAATTGTGTTCCCCTTAGGTTTGGATATTGTGCAAGGCCAGAGGAAAGCCATTGACGATTCAATTCTTGACGCCTCAAATCTTCTGGCTATCCTACCTGAAGATAAGCGGGGCAATGTGGATGTGATTTTCGATATGAAGCATTTCCCTGACCACGGTCGTATCACCCTTGGTGGTCAGGACCTGTCCAGTGTTGCCCAGTTCTTTAAGCAGCAAGACCTAGCTCAAGGAAAACTGGAGTATCTCCATGATGGCTCTGGTGCTTCCTCTGACAGCTTCTCCTTCAGTGCCAGTCTAAAGTTTAAGGGTGAGTCTGTGGGCTCACCTTCGGATATGCTGGTCCAAGAGGAGGTATTTCACATCGCAATCAAACGGCGGGGCTCTGACTCGCCAACACTAGTCACAATAGACATGCTCTTGGAGGTTTTCCAAGGCTCCGTAACCGTTTTGTCCCAGAAGCAGTTTAACACTCAAGACGAGGACAGTTCGCCAGATGAGGTATACTACAAAGTGACAAAAGCCCCCAGCAACGGTCGAGTGGTTGACCGACTCACAATGGACCCCATCTCTGAGTTCACACAGGAGATGGTCAATCATATGCAGGTGGGCTTCGACAGCGATGGCAGCCTTTCCGATGGCTCTATGGAATTCATCGTTTCGGATGGAGAACACCAAACAGAGCCACACACGATCCACATTAGCGTCCTAGCTCGGACCTTGCTTCTTGACAAAGCCCCTGAGATCAAGGTGAAGCAAGGCGATGATGAGACCCTGGTGACTGAGGAGATGTTGAAGGTAACTACCGGGGGCCCTGTTGAGGAGGACATCCTTTACAAGATCACAAGTGTACCTAAGTATGCAGCTGTTATGGTAGACCGGCAGCCTACATCCGCCTTCACCCAGAAACAGATCAAGGAAGGCAGAGTCAGTGTCCGCTTTGTAAAGTCCACTTCACCTCGGGACAGTGTTGCATTTGTAGCCCGTAGCAGGGGTGCCAATGTCACCTCTGTCCTCAACATCACGGTGCAGCCTCTGGCCAACATCGCTCAGGATCCTCTCTTACCTCAAGGCGCACTTGTTAAACTCGACAGGAAGCTTCTGGATGCAACTCCTTTGGCAAACAAGACGAGAACCAACCCTACATTCACTGTCATCCAGCAGCCTCAGGGGGCTCGCTTTGTGTGGTCTAGAGGTCCTGGTGCAGGTCAGCCAGTGGACACATTCAGCCAAAAAGAGCTAGATGAGGGCCGCGTAGCTATGGAAATCCTAGAGAAGAGCCCTTCTGGATCACGAGGTAGTGTCATTCAGGATGAGGCCCGCTTCCTGCTCAAAGCCCATGGGGTTCCTCCGGCAGAATGTGTGTTTTCCTTCCAGACGGGCCCCTACAATGCCTCGGGGGTCTACCCTGCCACTCTGTTGAGGCTTCCCTTAGATGACCCATCAAAGGAAAGTAATGACATCCCTGGGGTAGCCGGGTCCCCTCGATCCACTCAAGCTAGCCCCCGCTGGAATGGTGACATGGACTGGCCCAATGGACAAGCCCCCACCACAGCATCTGCAGGCGCTGGCACCGACAGGAATCCACATGTTTCCCGGCGCAGCAGCTTCTGGTCTATTCTCATCCCAATCCTGGTCATCCTTCTCCTGTTGCTGCTGGCAGGCGTCTTGGCCTACTACTTGATTCGTAAAAACAAGACAGGCAAACACAACGTCCAGACGGCAGCATCAAAGCCCAAAAACGGAGAGGTGGCTACCGGCACAGAAACCTTTCGCAAAACTGACCCGGCCAATAACATCCCAATGTCAAACATGGACTCCAAAGACGCAGACCCGGAGTTGTTGCAGGACTGTCGGACAACGAACCCGGCCTTAAAAAAGAACCAATACTGGGTCTGAGACACTTTGAGATAGGACACAGAGGAAAGTGGATCCTTGAGTGTTTGGAAGTCTCCTTAAATCATTCCTCTCAGTATTAAAGACCTCTTGCCACACCAGTTTAGATGAAGATTATTTTTTGACACCATTAGTTATTTACTTATCTCAACATAACTGTGGACAAATTCTCAGGCAATGAAACACTGAATACGTATTGGCAAATAAAGAGGCAGTTTCTTATCCAAGGAGACTCAGGCCATGTCTATTTATTTTAGTTGCATCATTCCTCTTCGTCAAAGGGCACACATTAAGACATAAACACGCTGTGTGTTTGCAAAAAGGTATCCTGGGTGTGCTCCATCATTGTAATCCATATGATATCATAGGCCAATATTATTCATTTGAGTTGATAGGTGATTGAAAGTCTTTGTGATGATTTGATTTTTGATTTTACCCGGAAAGTTGATAAGCCTTGTACATAGCTGAAGAGGTAAACATATGCTGTATTATCGAGAAAATGAAAAACTGCCTCTTTGTGTTTTCTCTTTTCAATGTTTTTAAGGTACCATTTTACTGTGTTTCTCAGGGCTAAATTCAACTTAAAGAAATCGTTTTTTCAAAGCAATATCAAAGAATGATACCAATCTCATATTTGCTTATTGAAATATGAAGTAGCATCCAGAAGTTAGCCTAGCTAAGTCAAATGACCAAAGTGTTTCCATCCGAAAGTATAATTATTCATCACCAGCGCCTCTAAAGCTCACTACCCAACATAACACATGCTATATCTCTTTTGTATAATCTGTGTAAAAAAAAAAGAGAAACAAAAGAAAGAAGTTGTGCTTTTATGCGGGATAATGCCCCAGACTGTTGGCTAACACAGTGACTTGCTGAATGTGGCTAGTTGGGAGAAGCTAGCTGTTGCATGTCTTAAGGGTTTGCTATGCTATGCTATGCTATGCTAATGGTTTCCCATCCTGTTGCTTCGTTTTGAACGGACAGATATGAGATTGGTGTTTACCTTGTTATCTAACTCTTAGTAAGAGAGCAAATAAGTTTAGGCTCTTAAAATGTCAAACTATTACTTTAATGCCATCACACAAGAACATTTCAGTGGTTTTACTTTTGTCTGTAAGGAAGATCGTTTAATGAAAAGCTTGTTGCATTCACATACATAGGTTTAATTGAATTTAGCTCAAAGTATCGTCGTCTATCACATGATATTATTGTTGATGCTTCCATAGTGCTTGTAAATATTCACTGGACTGGCACAGCACTGACATCGAAACCACACGGTACACAGTTAGCAGACCGCAGGCAGAGGCTATTCTGGTAGCATTGGTCTTTAACACATCCGTAATGGCTGACAGGCAGCGGTGAGGTCATCTAATACTGGGATGTTTCCAGTTTCCTAGTCTGCAATTAACAATTTATTGATAAAAAGACGGTTAGTGCTGGGATGGGGATAATGAAAGGAAATACTCCGCTGTTTAGGTTGCATTGGTGAAGCAAAGGAAGACATTGACAGTTTGTTTTTCACAGCTATTCTTGATTTTAAGCATTCCATATGTAAGCTATTGAAATCCTGAGATTTTTTTTTTTTTACTTTTTACTCTTAGACTTATTTTGTATGTTGAAGCTTAAAGGAGCATTACTGTACAAATACTCCTTTTTGTTCCTTGTTCTCATTCTTAATTGTCACTGACTTGTGACGGTTATCTTGTTTTTGAATGTTGAATGAAGTAGGTGAATTAGAAAGTGTAGAAGAAGACTACGGTGAAGAAGAAAGTGTTTAATGAAATATCAGATAACTATTTTGGATCCACTAAAGAAAAAGAAAAGACTCGACATTTATATTTTGAAAACTGTTGGACTATTTGCTGTACATTTCTTTGTATCATACTGTATGTCAATGACGACTTATTCTTTGTTAGTCATTTACTGAAAATACAATAATTCCTTTGCAGTACTCATCGTGTATTGATCTTCTATTTTTGTAGTGTTTTCAAGCGGAAAATATAGGTAGAGATTTTACAACACAGAGCTCAGGAAGTGATGTGTTTCGGGAGACTATGTATTTTCATTGACATCGCTTACATCAAATCTAAATAAAAGTATTGGTTTCTCCTACAGGATACCACATCCACAGCTTATCAGTTTTATGTGTAAATATTAGTTTTTTAAGTAAGGTTTTTGCGCTTAATTCATGTCTTGAATCATATATTTAGTGTATTTGTCGTCGAAGGTACTTGTACATGTAACTACATTTAATTTGATCAATCAACTGCTAAATATGCCTGTGTCTTTGTTGGTGTTTCTTTTTGTGTTTGTCTTTGCAGGTGCCCATCACTCTACTCTGTCACTCTTTTGTTTTCTCCTTACAGCTGAGATCATGGCAGATTTTCATCACCACACCTCATTCTTTTCATTATTTATTATTTCTGACCATCTCCATCAAGTCATACTCAAATGGTGTGCTTTGTCAGAGATTAAACTGTAATCTGTAACAACAGGTGCCTTTAAACGATAATAACTCAAAGAAATGTTTAGATTTTTTGAAAACAAATAATGTCTATTGCTGCAGAATGCCTCTGAGCTTGTTCTCGGCACTAATTGAAATAAAAACGTTCATGCAACAAAACCAGCGTTAATTGTTTTCAGTCAGTGACTCTTTCGTTGTACTCAAAGCTCATTTTATTATCTAAATAGTTTTTAATTGGCCTTTTTACCCAATTAAAATGTTCATGAATCAGATATCAGATCATGTTATCACTTGAAAGTGCTGAGAAATGACTTTGTGCTTTCATGCCTCAATTACTGTAATATATTACACTCTTTCCTGGGCAGAGGCGTTCTTCTTAGGATGATATATAATGCAGGAGGTTATCTTGTTACACAGACAAAGTGCATGGAGCCGCTCTTGGCCGGTAATCATAGCCTCCGTTGAAGAAAAATGTCATTTGAAACCTAAGTTATTACTGAGGAATATTTCTGATTTGTTCATGTCTCTTGTCGACTGACCAGAGCATGCATTTGCTGTCTTTACTTATTAACTTTGGTTCACTTCTCACTATTAGACCTTACAAATATATTGACAAAAAAGTGACTTTCTTGCTAGTTTAATTGATGTTATATCTGTTTTAATTCTGTTTTTGCTGATGTCTGTTTGATATTTTAAGCTTATTGCTTTCATTTTGAAGCATGCTTTAACTTTCCTAAAGGAAATCTTTACTTAAATGTATCTTAAGTCTGCTTTTCATTTAATTTGTCTTTATGTTTGTCATAGTCGTGGATATTAATAGCATGCACAGAGTTGTACATTACATTTGATTGACTTTAGGACATTATATTTTCTCTTTTCTGAGTTGTTTGTACTAGTTATAAGCATTTTATTTATTCGCTACTTTCACATTACATATTGACACTATTCTGTAAGAGTTGTTGAAATAATTTGTATTTTATTATTACATATAAAGTAAACACAATGTTATATACAGTGATGGCTTGGGGTAAATGTGGGCAAATCAGAGAGGGTCCCTCTCCCTTTATGTATTATTAATACAGACACGGAAACACTAGAGTCAATGTTTTATAATAAAATAAAGTTTTGCATCGTTCTCAGGGAAACCTATTTTTGTCAACCCTTTGTTGTCTGCTTTCTATTGATGCTGTAAGTGCTTTTGACCACCAGGTGGTGTTAGGCCCAAAGAGACCATGACAGTTCTTGCAGCCATTCGTCAGCATTTAACAAGCTTTCCTCCATCCGTCATTCTTTCCAGGGAATGGCCTTTGCTTTCGGTGTTTCTCTCGTTTTTTTATATTTTCCTGCTCTCCTGTGCACTTTCTGTCACTGGCTGCCCATGCTTTGCTTTCCTCCGAGCCGCTCATCCTGCTGCTTTCACAAGCTGCTCAGCTGTTGCTCCACATGTGTCTGCTTATGTCATGGAGCAGTGGGTGTCAAGTCTCAAGTTCAATGTGTTTTTCTTGAAATGAAAACAATAAGATAGTGTATTTCACTTTGCTTAAATAGTCAACTGTCAAACCTAATCAAATCAGTTCGCAAAAAAAGAAATGAAATATTCTTAAGAGTAAAAATGAAAGTCTTATTCACAGCAATGTTGATTGTCTCATTTGCAAACAATATCCTTCTTTTAAGCAACATTTAAACTGAAACTAAGCGGAAACTAGCAATTTAACTTTAAACTAAGCTGAAATTGAAATTGCATTACAAAAATCTCACATGTGATCTAGGTTTCAGCTCAATATCTATGTGGACACAATGAGTATATCATAGCCTGACTCCAACTTTCTGCTTTCATCATCAAAAAAATCTACAAGAGAGAGTTATTGGCAAATCTGAACTGCAGATTAAACTTTAAGTAAAGTATTGCAAATAGCATCATATCATGTCATTCCTTGTGAAAGCTTGGATAAAGAATCCTATAAAACAACTTGGAGAAGGACTTAATGTTCTGAACAAGTGGTTGTGGCGTTTTAAGTGGTTGTGGCGTTGTAAATGTCAACTCTGTGTAGAGACAGTCTGTTTCAGGAAGAAGTTATTTACTTCTCCTGACACTGTCCACTCCCACTCTCTCTGAATCCCCCAAATCTGCTTTCGATTCAAGTTTTGGAAGGAAACGCAAAGCACCTTCTGTTTTATATGTTTGTCCTGGTTAGAAAGATTGAGCTGCTGATTGGTGGATGTTATCCAGCGTCAGTTTGGTGCAAAACGACTCCTCCTCAATCCCTTAAGACCAACAGGTCTGAAAACACACAAGGCAGGGAGGAGGAACCATTCTTAAGATGCGTGAACTCTTTAACTACTGAAATCAAACACCAGTCAAAATATCTGAATGTTGTTTACAACTGAATGTTCGATCATTAGGCTGCTTGTAAAAGGGCCATATTATCATTTGCCGGTTCAAATGTGTATGTTGTGCCTCGGCTGTGACATGTCTCCATGCTTTAATGTTCAAAAAGCTCTTTATTTTTATCACACCGCCTGTGCTGCAGCACCTCTTCTCACCCTCTGTCTAATACCAGAGCCCAGTCTGCTCTGACTAGTTAGCTATAGCGAGCTCTGTTGTGATTGGTTAACTGCTTAGAGATGTCCCGCCCCTAAACCAATCCTGTACAATGTGTTGGAAAGCTAGCCAATGGAAGCGCAAGTCTTACGTATTGATGTCACTATGTTACAGAGGTAAACAAAGCTTTTCCGGCATGGAGGGCGAGTGTGTGAGAGAAACTCCC